CGTTAACAGAATAATGAGGACATCTCTTTTTAAAAAGAGAAAAAAACACTTAAGGTATAAATAGATATGGCTAAAGAAAACAAATTGAAAGGAAGCATGAACAAGTAGGGTGCATTGACAATTTTCCCTAAAAATAGTTAATATAATTGCTGTCAAAGAGTAAAGCTGACTTCATAACATTGCAAGTGGATGTCAGAAAATATTTCCTGTGCTGGTTTCATTAAAACTGAAATTGCCACAACAAATGTTGTCTGTTCATAACTGCTCTGTTGAAAGTGAAAAAGCAGATGCTCCACTGACTGGTAAGAACTGGACACTGTTAGAGGCATCACAAAGTTAGGCTAGCTGGGCACTTTCTTAGGCAGATTTATAGTTTCTCCTAGGACCTTTCCAGTCAAGTTGGTGGGTGCAAGGGCAGACTGTGGAGCCAGTCTGCCTGACTTCAGTCCCAGCTCAACCTGCTTGAAGTTGTGTGACTTTCAACAAACTGCACAACCTCCTAGAAGGACTGAGCAGGTTATTACCTACAAATCACTTAGAAAAGTACCTGTGAACAGTAAATATTAGCTCTTATTGTTTGGATTTAGGGCTTGCTGCTTCACCGATTTACAAAACCCAGACTTATAGCTAAGAGGAATGAGCTAAATCAGGGCTTTCCAACAGAAATATAATGCAAGTCACATACTTCATTTTCAATTTCTAGTAACCACATTCAAGAAATAAAACAGGTGAATAAGAGAGACAGTAGTAATACCTGAAGAGATGTTTTACTGTTTTACTGTTTTTCAAACCGTCTTTGACATCTCAGTTTGAATAGCCACATTTCAAGTGCTCAGTGGCCATACGTGGCCAGTGGCTACAGAACTGAATGGTGCAGTCCAAGAGTTCAATACATAGCAGCATAAATAGAGCTCACACACATAATGATGAGAGAAAAATAACAAGTTGCACAAAGTAAATAGAGCATATTATTATTTATGAAAAATAGCACTATATATCACCCGTTGATACAAGGCATATATGTAAAAATGTTTTAACAGGAGATGAAGGGTATACTTCACCCTCATGGGACAGAAGATGGGAACATAATGGGCTGTGCAACTTCCTGTGTAGTGTTATGTTCCTTTTATATATTATAAGAGGACTTGGAGAAAATAGGAAACATGAACACTTGCCAAGTATGGAAGTGGGTACCCAGGAGTTCAGTGCATTGGGCTCCAGGCTCTGCTCCTTTCTGCCTGTGTGACCAGTCATTTAACCTTCCTGTGCCTCAGTTTCCTCATCTGCAAAGTGGAATCATAACCGTACCTACCTAAGAGGATTACTGTAGGGTTCAGGCGTTAGTGTATGTAAAGGCCTTTGAACAGTGCCTAGCACATTGTAAGTACTATTTAAGCTTTAGCTACTATCGTGACTGTTTTAGTGAATTCTCAGAAAAAAGAAAACTGCGTAATTATTCCTTATAAAACAAACCGTCACTGCAGGAACAAATATAAAACCCAGGCTGCATCCAGAAATTGAACTTTCAGATGCTCTAAGTGGACATACGCCACAAATACCTATGAATATGCTTGTGATACATCTCTGCTACGTGAAGTCCAAAAATAGTTATTTCTCTGCCAGCTAAACATCATGGGGATTGTTAAACTGATCATGGCACTGAATGATCAGGGGCTTTTCATCAAAGTATATCCTTACATATGATTCATCCTTTTCTTTCATTACATGGAGCCTCAGGCAGGTTGGAAAAGCTACATGATACTTTGATTTTTGTGAGTTAAAAAAAGTAGGCAGCAGTCATCACTCAGGCCAAGTGCATGTACCACGCACGCCGGGGACCAGCTCACTGGGGCCACTGCGCGCTGCTCGGACTTCAGCGCCAGAGCCTGTGCTGCGGGCCCGCCTGCAGATTGCCTTTCTTCTCTCTCTGAGCTTGACTGTATTTTTTTTTTTACTTTCAAGAGCCCTCTCCTTACCATAAGGTCCTCCATTTTGCCCACTTTCTCTACTTACTCATTTTATTGCTTCCTTTCTCAGAAGTGCTCATTTTGGGGCAGTTCATCACACAAATTTGGCTATATTTCTTTCAGACTCAGAATTTTCTCCTTAAGACCTTTCCTTTAGTCCTTATTTCCCTTATCATTATTTTTCACCAGACTTTTCATGTAATAACCATGAGAGGCAGTCCATTCCAGGAAACAGTTTTTGTTTAAAATGGTACATTATTGTTCTGGCACTATAACCTTTCCAATTTCTTTACATAACCATTTTCATTCAAATTATTTGTTAGCTAAGTTTTTTTTTTTCCTGTCTGCCAGCTGCTCCGCAAAAGCCTCAACCTTCACCCTTTCTGTTAATCTGTTTTAAAAAATACTCTTTTTCTCACAATGGTCTTTTTGATTTTTCTCACTCTTCATTCCTCCCTTTTACTAGAAGTTGCTTTGTTTCCCTTATTGGATTAATTGTAAGTCTTTTGATTCTTGACTATTACTACAGTTGCAAAATGATAGTTAAAAATGATTATGTGACAGGAATGCTGACAAGCAGAGGGCATGTGCTGCCTGTTAGCCCTGAGGGCTGGTCCTCGTGTTTCGGACCACACACGTGCAGACTATGCCAAAACTGTACCCGCCAATCAGTTCCAAGAAAATGGAGGAAGCACAGAAGCGTTTGTCCCATTGTCCTTTGCCCTCTTCCTACAACATGTCTTGGAAAATGTGGCTTTGTGAGCTCTGAACCTTTCCTACCGATTCTTTGGCTCGAACTGTGTGGTCCTACGAGCTGTCAGGAAATAGCCCTGGCCTACCTACACACCATCTTTTGGGCACCAGCTTTGTGCCCAGGACCACGCAGGGGAAGATAGAGGGTGCTCGGGGCCCAGCCACAGGAGAACAGACTTGTCGTTTCAAAGCGGCAGGGGTGCTTGTCTCCCGTGACCCCTGCATTTGTCAGATGAGGAAGCAGGGCTTGGGAGGCTGAGTGACTCGTTGAAGGTCATGCAGCCAGTTGGTGGAAGAACTGCGACATGGAAACAGGAGTAAGTATGTGTTACTGGCATTAGGAGAAATCAGGAACCAATGAGGACAGATGGCTTTCAGTGATAACAGAGTTTGAGCCTATTTATGCTACCTCCCCAGTATCTTAACTGAATTTAAATCCACAGAAAATGCCCATTGTTGTTGTTTTCCTGTTCTGGAAAAATTCAGTGCTGCGAGTAAGGACAGGGCTTGAGTGCAGCTCCAGAGCAGACGGTAATGAGCACACGAGGGCATCGTGCCTCTGGCAAGCCATTCTGCTTTGCGTTAAGTCTTGATTTTTCAGGTGGCCTTGGTGACAGTTGGCAAGGGGGCTGCTTATGTAATTACCCAACTTGGGATTGCTGCAACTGCGAGGAGAGGAGAAAGTGTGGGAAGAGCCAGCCCCAGTCTGGAGGACTGAGATGCTTCCTACAGGTGAAGTTCACTGGTGTCTTTTGAAAACTCCTTGGCAACCCAGCTTATGAAAATGCCAGCAGTGGGCTGAGCACACTGGGGAGACAGCGATATTCTTCAGGTCAGCCCCAGACTCCCACAGTGAGCTTCCTGGGTGAAAGCTTGTAGCATGAATCAGTGGGGAAGGAATCAAGTACAGATGTAGAGAGGAGGTGCAAACCCCACATTTGCCAGGGACCAGATCTGGGACCTCTGCCGAGTAATTCAGCCACCTTGTACTTGGGCATCTCGGTGGTAAATCTCCCTGGTGGGGCGCCCAGGAGGAGACTAGGCATGTCCAGCATCAGGCCTGGTGCCTGGGGAGTGGGCCCAGTGAACAGAGTTAAAGGAAAGATTCCTGACATTTCTTCCTGAGGTTTAAAACTGTTTTTCCTCTCATGTCTGTGTTTACACATCCTGGGAGCTGTCTATACACGGTTCCCAATTAGCCAGAAGCACGAGAAAAAATAAAAAATCAGAGTGTTGTCAGGCAGCTGCGTTTGGAGAGGTCTCTCCCTGTGCAGTAGGTGAAACCTCAACCGAGTAGGGGAGGTTTCTTGACTCTGATCAAGAAAGAATTTGTAAATAGGTCCAATGAGTGTAGGTAAGGAAGGAATTCATTGAAGCGAGAGTAGCAGAGAACGGCATCAGCTGTACCAGCAGCAAAGAGGAGGAAGAGCAGAAGGAGGAAAGGGAAGCTCATTGAACCCCCTGGCTCGGCAGAGGGCAGATCCCTTGCCAAGTCCTGAAGCCAGGGTGTGGGTAAAATTGTAATATTTCCAGAATATCTCGCCTGGCTTTGGTGCATTTACCTATCCTCAAGGGTGGAGAGAAGTTCATCTCCCTGTCAATGGGTAATTACCTGGGCAACCGAGGGGGGTCTGAACCTGAGAGGTGAAGGGGAGGGGCTGGCTTGGTTGCTTGCTTCTTCCGGAGCAGCGGAGAGAGCCGGCCCTGGACTGCAGTTTGTAAGCAATAAACGGGTTTTAAAGTTTATTTCTCCCTTTGACTGATTTCGGTTTTTAGAGGTATTTTGCTTCGGGATTTCCTCTCCCCGGACTTACACAGGGTTACCTGGTGTCCAGTGTCTGCTTGAATCTGCATGGCATGGGAATCAAGCACCCACCACCCCACGATTTGGGGGAGCCTCAGAGCACTGGATGGAGTGAGATAATGCTCTGAGCAAAGCAAAGAAAGGAGACTTTTGGGCAGGCTACTAAGGAGCATGATTGTACAGCTGCCGTCCTGCCCAGGTCACCCGGGCAACAGGAACTTGCAAGCCCAAATCAGAGATCTCAGCAGCCCCTCCCTACTTGTCTGAAGTAGGACAGAGAGAAAGAAGACTTGTGATTAAGTCTAGAAAATTGAATGAAATAGCAAAATAAGATGCTTACCACTGGGAAAACGGGACTCTTTTTAATATCCCAAGAGATCTGGAAGAGCACAGAGACAAAACACAGTAAATTGTGCAGTGAGAAGGCTTTATTAAAGGCAAAATACACACTCCAAGAAAGGGGAGTATAGGCAGCCTCAGATAGTAGGTGTGCTTAAAGCTTAGGGTTCGTGTCTTTTAAGGATTTCAAGAATGGGATAAAGGAACAGGGGAGCATAGGCTTGACGTGGTGTCATGGTGTCTCTCTGGTGAGAGACATTATACCATCATCCATTACAGTCCTCCAGATATTCTGTAAGATTAATTTAACACAAAGAATTTATTGATCCTGTTTTTTTCCAAGATAGTGGTGACCCTTGAGCAGTGGAAACATGCCATTGAGGGCTGCTTGCCCCACCTTAAGATAGGGTCAGTTGCTTGCTAATCACCATTAAATATGTTAGATAGCTTATCTCCTAACTCCTGTTTTTTAAAATGGAATCTTAGCCTTAAGATGGAGTCACTCCATTCTTACTACACTGTTTATATCTCAGTATTTTTCACCATAGGCAGGAAAAGTTAACCATGATGCTTCTCCCAGGTCCCTGCCCTGCCTCAAGAGCAAATAGAAATCATGTTTTTGAATTTTTCCTGCACTTCTTGCATCTCGGTTGTTGCTTTGGTGTCACGTGCAACCAGGCTTACAGTGCCCCCATCTTATAACACTGCTCAAAGATCAGTGTGCCAATCAAAGTTACTGAGGCCCTGCCCCAGGGCAAGGCCTTGGTTAGGTGCTGTGGGGAGGCATGGACTACAGGGAGTGATGCTCGATATGCAAGCTTCTGGTTTTGTGGGGCAACGAAACATTGCATGAGTGACGAGGCTGTCTGGCATTAGCCAAGGATGAATTTGCCTAGTGGAGATATTTGCTCACCCTCCTTCTGTTGGTCTCAGAGGCAGATGCCACTGAGTTTGGTCTGAATGCTGTAGGCCCTGCCTAGCAGCTCGCTAGCTCTGCCTCCTGCTCAAGGGGTGGGAAAGACAAATGTGCCCAGGGAGCCCTCTAAAATGGCCTTAGTGGGAAGACAGGAAAGAGGGTGGCTGCAGATTGTTGTCTAAGGAAAAAGGAGGCCAAACCGGATGGCAGGATGCGGCAGCAGCAGATTTGGGGACTGGCACAGCTCAGTCTGAGAAGCTAAGAGCCCACGGATGATGAAACAAAGCACTACAAAAGCAGCAGCTGAAGCCCACCAGCTCAGCCCCCACAGCTGGACTTCTGAAAAGCAGATCATTGCAAATGGGAAGGCACAGAAGTGAAGGACATTATTTCACAATGGTAAAGAAATCTATGAGAAAGGCTAGCAAAATGGTAAAGAAATCCAGAGAAAGGGCACATCCTTTAACATGCCACTCCTTCCCTCTCTAAAATCTTTGCTCAATCCTAGGCCCACAAGGCCTCTCTCCCTTTCCAAAGCTCACTGCTTGCCTGACCTGTATTCAGCACTTCAGCCAGTCAGTAACATGGTCCTCCGTTGCCCAAGCACCCAGCTATCCTTCCCCAAGAATCTGCCAGGAGTTGTGTTGATGGAAGAGACTCGGTTCTTACTCCTGGAGGTCTTGTAGTGCAGGGAGGTGTGCTGAGCCAGTGTGGTGGGTGAGATTGAAATAATCTCCAATCAATGCGACATTACTTGCAAAAAAAATGTTTTTGTCAGGTATTATCCATTGTATACACATGCTCCATCTAGCCTCCACTCCAGCACTAGGAGATGAAATGTGACTGAGCTGAACTAATTGTGATCATCTCACTCCCATTGGCCGGGGCTGGTCCAGAAGTGGCCATGTGACCCAGTTCTGGCCATTGATATATCAGTAGAAATCTGTTGAGTGGAGCAAACACTCATTCTTCTACGGAAAAGGGAGTAATAAATGTGTCCAGGGCTTAATTCCTCCCTTTCTTGATGGAATGTGGATGCGATGTCTGGAGATGCATAGCCATTTGAGCTCATGAGGCCAGCCTGTGCAAAAGTGGCAGAACACACCTAGAGAGTGAGCATGGGTCTCTGACAGCATCGTTACCCAGTTGAACAGGTTACTTCCTGGCTTTGTGTTAGGTGGGAAAAATGGCTATTTTCTTACTAGCCCTGAAGTGCACCCTTAATGATAATTTCCTAAATGATTTTTTTAACTTACAAAAATAATTTTCTTAGAGGCTCCAGGGGCAGCAGCGGTGGAGTGGGAAGTGGGTGCTGTCATCAGGCCGACCCTCATGTTCTGGTCCTGTGCTGGGCTTCCCCCGGTGGCGCTGCGGGCCAGGAGGGTCGGCCACCAGGCGTAGGACTTGCTGTTGTGACCAAATATATTACAAAGGGCTGGAAAGAAGTCAATGAATTGTATAAAGAAAAGGCACTTTCTGTGGAGACTGAAAAGTTATAGAAGTATCTGGAGGCTGTAGAAAAAGTGAAGTGTACAAAAGATGAACTGGAAGTCATTCATCTAATAGAAGAGCATAGATTAGTTAGGGAACATCTTCTAACAAATCACTTGAAGTCTGAAGAGGTATGGAAGGCTTTGTTACAAGAAATGCCTCTTACTGCATTACTAAGGAATCTAGGAAAAATGACTGCCTTTTCAGTGCTTGAACCAGGAAATTCAGAAGTATCTGTAGTATGTGAAAAATTGTGTAATAAAAAACTTTTTAAAAAGGCTCATATACATCCATTTCATGTTTTAATTGCATTAGAAACATATAAAACAGGTCATGGGCTCAGCGGAAAACTGAAGTGGTGCCCTGATGAAGAAATTCTGAAAGCATTGGATGCTGCTTTTTACAAAACATTCAAGACAGTTGAGCCAGCTGGAAAGCGTTTTTTGCTGGCTATTGATGTCAGTGCTTTTATGAACCAGAGAGTTGTGGGTAGTATACTTAATGCTAGTACAGTTGCTGCAATGATGTACATTGTTGTCAGAAGAACAGAAAAAGATTCTTATATAGTTGCCTTCTCAGATGAAATGGTACCATGTCCAGTGACTATAGATATGACCTTACAACAAGTTTTAATGGCTATGAATCAGATCCCAGCAGGTGGAACTGACTGTTCCTTTCCAGTGATATGGGCTCAAAAGACAAATACAGCTGCTGATGTCTTCATTATATTCACTGATAATGAGACCTTTGCTGGAAGTGTCCATCCTGCCGTTGCTTTGAGAGAGTATCGAAAGAAAATGGGTATTCCAGCTAAATTGATTGTTTGTGGAATGACATCAAATGGTTTTACTATTGCGGACCCAGATGATAGGGGCATGTTGGTTAAGTGTGGCTTTGATACTGGAGCTCTGGATGTAATTCGAAATTTCACATTAGATGTGATTTAACCATAAGCACCAGCATGATCTAAGAGGTCCATGCCATCAGTGATCTCACAGAAAATATGCAGCTATTCCCAGCTAATTGTAATCCAGTGAAAGATGGTAAGATGATAGTGTAATAAGTGCATAATGGAAAGTTTACCTTACCCAAAAACAAAAAGGAAAGAAAAACAAGATGAGCCCAAAGTCCTTTCTAACTACTAAGCTAGCTTTTTGGGAAATCTGTAGCTTTCTCTGTCTACTAGAGAACTTCTTATTGATAGACATTGTAAAATAAGTAAGTAGCTCAGTATCATACCATGTCACTTGTTTGAGAGGCACTTAAAGTATTCTCAAAATGTTTTCATTGGGAAAGGATAGCTTTGATAATATATTAATTACTCTGAAATGCACTGGACCATGTAACTGTGATGGAATATGAAACTCATTTGCAAACTTTTATACTGAGGGGGTTTAAAAAATTTTTTTTGACATTTGATTAAATTGTAAATGAGTTTTTAAAGACTCCTTTAAGAGTTTTCTAAAATCATATAAACAGTAGCTTTCTTATTCAGTAAAAAAGATGTTGTTTCAGTTGTTTTATTTACAATTGTAGAATTATTATTATTAGCCAGAAACATAATGGAAACCCCTGAGAAGCAACTCTCAAGTTTGTGTCAGCTGAGGAAGTCTATTTAATTTTGTTTTTGTTTTGCTGTATTTTATTGCCGTGAGTTGGGGGCATGACTTGATGGTTTCTCATGAACTGTAACATAGCCACATGTAATCACACTTTCTGTGTTTCATACTCTTAAATGAAAGCAACTGTTTTAAGCATTTAACATCCCCACTCATAATCTAAAGTAAGACAATTAAATCAACTATAACCGAGATCTAATTTTTTCCTTTAAAATAAATATTCTAATTACTTTGAACTATTTTTAAGCCAATTATAAATGGGTTTTAGATATTTTCTAATTGTAAACATGTCAGTGGTCTCCTGTTTCTTTGTCCATTATTCTTTCATGGTAAAACATTCTTTTTGATCATGTAAGAAAATAATAAAAGCAAGCTAAGTCTTTCAGGTTTGAAAGGCGATTTTTGAGTAGCAAATTACCACTAACCAGTCTGTAAAAGATTTTTTTTTTTTCATTTTGTGTACTCTAACTAAAGTTCCTTTCATTAAAGTACGTTATTTTCTTGAATAAACATCCCTTTCTTGGTGGGAAAAAAATAATAATAATTTTCTTTATTTTAGAATTATTAACATAAAAACCCATATTCAATGGAGGCCTTTTTGGAAAGTGCTAAAAAGCATAGAAAAGAAAATGAAAACTTTCTTCAAACACCTAAAGATATCTATGCTTAACATTTTGTTGTCTGTCTTCTACATTTTAAATGTATATTTGTTTTTTTTTAATTTGAAATCATACTGTTTTGTACTGTTTCTTTTTCTCTTAATAAGTTGCCATGAATGGCTTCCCATGAAAGCTAATATTTATTTACAATGTGGTTTCAAAGAAAGGATACATGAATATAAATTAAACCAAAGAGGAAAAAACAACCAGTTCCTACAAAAAGAGCACCAATAGTCAGGATTATCTGTGGAACTACACACCCTGAGATGCCTTTCAGGATTTCAGGAATTGTAGTGATGGTAGGTGACCTTTGGAGACTCTCTTTATAAAAATAAAATAGCAAATAAAATGAGAAAGCAATTTTCATTAAAAAAATTTTTTTAACTTAAAATGAAATTTTAAAAATTCCGATTTTTTAAGGGTATCTATTTTTTAAGGGAATCCTATTCCTATTTTTTAAGGGAATATCATTTCAGTCTCTTAATACTTTTTAAAAAGGAAAATTGTTTATTATTGGCTCCCTATCATCTCTTTCTGTCAAAGGGCAAAATATCAGGTCTTTAAAATTAAATCGATCTGTGTGAACACCCGTGCGCACACACCACCGAGCCATGCACAGTTCTCTATCAGATCCGGTGTGGCTCACACCCGGGAACCGGCCCTGGCAGTCTGGCCTCGCCGCTTCCACCGGTGTTTCCGTGGGCTGCTGAGCGGGCGGCCCTTGCTTTTGCATCTCTCCTCTGCCATTGCTTCATCAAAGTCTAAACCAGTAGGCCGCGGAGCGTTACCTTAACAGGCCATCGCACAGGGAAGCAGCCTTCCCTCTGCCCGGCAGCAAGTCTGTGCGTGTGCTTCAGGGTGAGGGCCACACAGGTGATCTGTGAGCAGCAAACCCAAGGTTTGGGAAGGACTTCGTCTTGTCACACCTTTCTCCGCTGTACAAAAGAGAAATGTAAACACAGCTTCTACCAGGTGAGTTTATAATCCAAATATGCACCCACACACGAGAAAGGGAAGATTAGAAAAGACATTCAAGGGCACGGTTTTCCTTTTTTTCTGGGATTAAAAACAAGCCATTGGAATAGGCCACCAAGAGGGCAGTTACCAGGGTTACCAGATAAAACTCTGTTTTGAAATGTGAAAATGAGCTCCAGCAGGCAGAGAGACTGCCTGAGCACAGGCAGAGTACTCACTGGCATATCCATACCCCGGAATTTGACAAATAGCTCCTGAGTGTCTCCAGATGCTGGCATGCAGCAGTAAGCACCACAAAGTCCCAACTCTCATGAAGCTTTTACACCAGGCCAAAGACACGTTCTATGTGGCTCCCACAATTAGAAAAAAAAAAAAAATCACCATTTAAAAACCAACACATTTTACAGAAGAACTTCCATATTTCCAGCTTCTCTTAAAAAAATCCCAAGCTGTCAACTCTGGCCCCATATTCCATGGGGCGGCAGTGGACTGGAATGGGAAGTGCTGCCCCATGGAGCCCTGTGAGGGCTGGCCACATGCCCTTGGGCCCCAGTCCATGCACGGGTGTGTTCACTCTGCCTGCTGCTCCATTCAGGTGCCCGGAGGACATGGGAGTTGATGCCCTCTGAACCATAATGAGGTTTGGGCCTTTCCCAAGTGCATTAGAGCAATGCGTGTGTACACATCTCATCCTGGCTGCTAGGCTGGAAGGAGCTTGGGAGCTGTGTCCACGTGCTCATGTCGCACTCCCTTGGGTGTGCCCAGAGGCCTCTCGGTCCCAGCCTGCCATTCTGACCAAGTCTGCACGAACTTCCCGTTCGCTCCGGCTGCTCCTCACCACCAGGCCTGCACCGCCCAGTGCCATGCACTAGACATCACCAACATCCCTGTGTAAGCACATAGGAGCCCTCTGCACACCCAAGTGTGCACAGCCCAGAAGGCAAGCAAGCTTGCAGCAGTGGGCAAGTGCCTGGCCAATGCCTCCCCTTAGACGGATAGTTTTGGGTGCATTTCCTAAGGCTTCTCAGATGGTCTGGTGGGTGGAGTAACCAGTCTCCCAAGGCCTGGTCCGCTTGATCATGTGGTCTTGTATCTCCCTGGGTCTCAGACCTTCCTTCCTTGACCTCCCTTCCCCATCACCCACCACTTCAGGGGATCACTTTCCTAGATAGACCCCCAAACTCTCCTACTTGGGGGCCCCAGGCTGAGAGAGCTGACATCAGCATGGCCCTGGAAAGTAGGTCCCCAGCATGGGCTCCCCCACTGGCTGTAACTGGGGACGGTAGCTGTGGCATGTAGTGGCAGAACAACTACCAAGTCCCTGCCTGTGTTGGTGGTCTTACCACATTGAGCAGAGAACCTGTAGCTGGCCAGAATGGGATTCACCCAAAACATCGAGTAGGTAGCAGCCGTGGAACTGGAATGATCTGGGGCATGATAAAGACAATAATTATGGAATTGGATAGGTTTGTTTTTGGCTTTGGAGGCCCACATGGGCCAATCATCAAGGCAAGCTGTGCTGTGGAGGTCAGTGAACGCTTAGGGAGACGCTTACAGGACCAGGATCTGATGGCAGGTGACAGAGCTGCAGGGGAGACCGAATTCACGCCTCAGGGCCTCCTGTGTGAAAGGCCTGGGCCTGATGGGCATGGACTGCTCGCGGGAAACCCGGAATGGAGAACTGGCTTGGACAAGCCCAAGGATCTTGGAATCCTGTGTTTCTCTGAGTCCTCCCTTGGAAGCAGTCCTTTCTGCTTCATTAGGAGGGGGTGGCCTCCTGCAGACTGGGGGTCCTGCGGAGACTCTGCCCAGTGCAGGTATCTGATGAGATGCACTTGACCTCAACATTTGCTGCTGCCACCCTTCACTGCATCCAGGCTGACACCGGGACTAGGGTGCAGGGGCTAGCATGGGAGGAGCAAAGGCAGACCCTGTGCTGAGAGAAAACAGCTTCCACACTGGCAGGATTGCCAGCAGGTGCCTGGAGAATGGAGGTGGGGAGTCTGGAGGGTGTTGAGCCAGGGGTGGGTGGGTATAGAAAGCTGGGTAGGAGGGGTTTAGGGATGCAAGACACTTACTCATGAGTCAGGATCCACGTTATAAGGAAATCCCTTGGAGCTGGTTCTCATACCCTGCTGTGATGTCCCTGATGGCAGCCTACAGTAAGCTAAGCAGAGATGCCAGGATACCTTGGCACAGTATTAAAGAAAGGGCCTGGAAGTTTGGGGTAGTGGGTATGTGAAAATGGATCTATTAGGTGAGAACAGAGACCCAGTCCCCTAACTGTGGTCCTCAGGAGGGTCCAGGGGACACCCGTTCACTAATGCAAAGGGATTGGGGGACAGCAGCATCTCAGAACAACTCAGTGGCAGCTTTCCTCTGTACGGTTGGCTGACCTCTGTACGTGGGGTGCTGCTGTGAAACTGGGCCCCCTTGTATCAATGCGGGTGACGTGGCAGAAGCCAGGAGGCAAGAGGACATCATTCTAGAGTCAGCAGCAAGCCTGGAGTGGCAAGCGGCAGGGCACCTCGACCCACGACGATGACCGGGTATTTGGTGGTGGCAGAGCTGGATTTCCAAGAACCAAGAGTGATGGAAGCCACACAGGTGTCACTCAACTTGTATAATTAAAAATATACATGTGAATAAAAATAAAGAGCTGGTGAGCAGAAGGCCGCAGTCAGCTGCCGGTCCTTTGTACCTCCCTGGGTCGCAGACCCTCCTTGCAGGAAATGACGACCCCTCACCTGGTTTCCAGTTCTAACTCAGTCACAGCCTCAGAGCCTGTGGAAGGAAGGGAAAGCCAGGTGTGCTTCAGGAAGGATGCAGCAAGGAGCTACAAGAATACCTGAGAAACAGTCATCCATTTACAGGACCTGCAGCTAGTTACCAGGGAGCTGCCCAGGGCAAAGGGGAGCACCCAGGCTTATAACCCTTGGGTACAAGTTCTGACCCACACTGACTAGTCGGGACACGTGATCAGACCCTCTGGGTAGGTGGCAGCTGTGGGAGACATTGTGTGCTGCCCAAGGCCATCTTACAGTGGGGCCCCCGGCACCCTCCCACCACCTCGAGTTGTTTTCCTGTTCCTGGATATGCAGTTGGGGTAGATGTCCTTAGAAACCTGGTGTAATCCACAAATCAGTCCTCTGCTCTGTGTAGTAAGAGCCACAGCTGAGACAGTAAACAGGAGCGACTCCACATCCCAGGAGAAGTTCTTAGACTGGTCTGACCCTCACCTCCGCCAAGTCTCCTCTTGGCACCTGGAAAACCACAGATCACCTGGAAAACCACAGATCCCGGTGGATGATGACGGACATCAGTAAAATTAACCAGGGGTCCCCAGTCACAGCTACCATACCAGTCGTGGCATGTGGAACAGATCAGGAGAGCCTCTAGTGCTTGGTGCTCAGCAGTGACCCGGTAAGTGCATTTTTCCCATTCTCCGTTAGTACGGCGCCAGCTTCCACATGGGCAGCAGCCAGCTGTTCACATTCATTCACTTGCTCAAAATCCTTCTCTCCATCATATCACCGTCTCCAGGGACTTGATCACACTGAAATCCCACAGCACTTCATCTGATCCACATCATACTGACAACT